GGTGGTGGATGATTGATTAGCACAAGCTAAGTCCTTTGCACGGCGAGTGACTGGGCTGCTGCGCTTTCAGCTGTGTCTTGTTGCTTTAGTGATGGCTATCGCACCACATTAAAATGAGCTGTGACATGACATGGAAGGCTCTTTCTGATAATAGCTTGCGATTTGGCGAAAAAATACTTGCGAGTTAGTCCAATTCAAATAGGGAATATTACGGTTATTAACCAGGTAAGCAAACAATGGAGAGTTTTCAGTACGCCCAGAACAGGATCTACCCTATTGTATGCTGGGATAATCTGCTACGCCATTAATACCTGGAATAATTTACCTGCTGCACATTACCAACTCAAGGCCTGTTTGATTAATTTTCATACTTAATTCTCAATCAAACCTCAATTTTTTGTTAGCATACATGAAATAAATAGAAGATGGTGAGGCTCAGTCTTGCTAAGTGTTAGCACAGACATTTAAATCTAGTTCACAAAGTTCAAACTATCAGCTCTGTCAGTCAGCAGGGAGACGTTCACATTTCTGCACTGATTTGGGGTGGAAAATCAGATGATTTCTATATAATAAATGAAAACACAGTAAAATGTTTAAGCTGAGAATATAACGTTGTTATTAATAGCTGAAAGCATCATCAAATTAGCCAAAATATTAAATAAACAAACACACAAGCAGTTAGGGACTTGTAGAACTTTCAGAATGACGCCATTCTAATTCTGTGGAAAACTGAGTAACTTTCTGTGGAGTTCTGCACGCAGATTCCATGACAGTCTAATAATATCCAATCCCTAGTCAGACAATTAAATCATAAATTAAATAATTTAAAAAAAAGTTAAAACCTGACAATTTTATAAACTAAAACTATGACAACTAGTGTGCAAAGGCTAAAATATGGAGCGATTAATGTTTTGATGGCTTTGGAGAGGTTAGAAAACAAACATCCTGCTTCTTTCATGAGTGCTAACAGCCAATCGAGAGGAAGACAGATTTTTGGCGCCCTGGAGTGTCTAGCCATTGGAGAAGTATGTACAGACGAGTGTTACTGGCGGATGTAAGTGTATTGTTCCTAGTTTCGTGACAAAAGCTCTAATCATCATAAGTTCAGCCGGTCACAGTTCAGTCAGCTCAGTGGTGTCCATTTATGTTTGGAAAACTATGCTCACGTACATGTGTTCTTTCTTTTACCAGCTTCCATGCATGACTGTTTAAGGGCCCGTCATATGAATGTTTCTGTAATGAAGCTTTAGTGTTTGAATGTAGTTCAACTGCAATCAAGCTGAATAAGCAGTTAGCAACACTATTAAATATTTATGAAACTTAGCTAACAACATTGACACACACCAAAGAGTGAAAAATTTAAGGGGGTCTGAATACTTTCCGGACCCACTGTATATATATATAAAGTGTACGCGTGTTTTAGACATTGTATGTACGTGTGTTGCTGTCACAATAAAGCTCTGCCCCAAGGGTCGAACTGAATACTCAAGGATGAAGAGGAAGAAAGAGAGAGCTTGAGAGCTGTCGCTAACATCCTCTTCACAATGAAGCTATTGTGGCATGTATGGCTCCAACAGTGTGGGCTCTCCTTCAAGTGCACAAAAACCCATCGGCCTTAATAATTTTAAAAGAACACATATATTTGGTTCAGTAGACAACAAAGGAGAGTCCTTTCAGCTTTCACACCACCATACACAATTACTGTAAAACATTTCCATAATCACAGTGCTGTGCTAATGAACTACACAAAACATGCATTCAAATCTCTATATCAATGAAGAAACATAAACAACATTTTGGCATTGCTATATCAATTTTTACAGGTTATGACTACATCACTACTAGAAAACATTGGGAATCTTTAGTAGGGTGACAGATTATCAGATTTTTTAAAAGAACCAAATTAACTGACTCACTTAAATCAAATGTGAGAAAAATATTCTCACTGCAGCATTTTGTTTAAAGGCAGACAGTGTATTAGCATTATCATGTCTACATCACTACTCCATTCTGAGAGCTCTGTAAGGCTGAAGGGGTGGGGAATTGAGAGTGTGCTCTCAGTACTATGGGCTTAACGGGGAAATAGATATAAATGTGTTTTTTGGAGCAGCTGGAGTAATGAGGAATGACAGAGACATAATCCCTGTGTGTAACCTCAGTAAACACTGGCAGCGGTGGTGTGGGGAGGGACACAACGCTTGACAGGGTTGAGTCCTGTCCTCTTCCCCCTGTTTAAATGGAATTTACGTTAGGTTAGCACCAATGACAAAAATCCAATTTGCAGCATTATGCCGCTGGCAAAATCTAATTTTAAGATGACTGCATTCCAAGAGTTTTCTCTTACATTCCTTGCATGACGGTAAACCGGGGGTCTTGCGTTCGCTCCCATCGCCTGCATGAGTAGTATTTCCCAGTTGTCAATTTTCCAATTTCATTGATGTTAAACTACGCAAGAATGCAAAATCTGAGGACTGGAGGAAAGAGATAGACGGAATGAAACATGGAGAAGTAGTTAGTGACTGATAAAGTAGAAGAAGAAGAGTCTGAGATGTCCCCTGATGCTACAATCCTCTTCTGAAAAAGAGCCTGTGCGTGAGGAGATGCTAAGTGTCGAACCATCTGCTTTCGACCCTTCAAAGAGGCTCCCGGCTGAACCTGCGTTATTAAACAGGGCATCCCCACAACTACAAAGAAAGCTGGTGAGGTATTGCATACGCAGATGCACTGGCTCACCCACAGCTCAACGACACAATCCCATGCTGCTTTACAATCGATCAGATAAATCCCATACCAGCCGTTGTGTCTAGATAGCAAACCTCGATCTGTGAAAAGCCTAAGAATAAAGTTATGGCACTTACACACTGGAAAAGAGTTTGGGGTCCATGGAGTTTAGAGACCAAAAGAGTTATTGTGAGAAAATAAATAACTAAATAAACTAAATTATTTACCTAATTCACACAGTATTATCAGTATATATACACATTACTGTTCAAAGGTTTGGGGTCAGTAAGATTAGTATTTTTACTTAGGAAATTAATTTTAATTAGCTAGGATGCATTAAATCCTTGATGAAAAGCTTTAATTCTAAAATCTTGAATCACGGGTTCCACCAACAACAGGGTTCACAGAACAACAGTTACTGTCTAGACACAACTCAGGCACGACCCATGACAACAAATGAAGAGGGTACTTTGGATGACTATAGGGTAATTACCAATATTCGGCCGTTATTCTCAGCACTTACTGCCACATTAGTCGGTACCTTCAACAAAGACCTAAATGGGAACGGCTTGAACTCTTAAAGTCTGGCACTGATTCTTAACTGCAGCCGGACATCTGGGTGAAAAAGACACAGACTGACATAACGGATGACTAGCACTCATCAGAGGCTCCAGCACCCTGTCCCCAGCCACCGTGCTGCTTATTTAGAGCCTCTCGCCGCAATCCATTTTTTGTCCGTACTCTGGGTTTCCTGCTTCAGGAGATGCTTAACATTACGTTCATCCACCAGCCCGTGGGGCCAAAAGTTGAGAGTAATGTGATCAGTAATGAATTTTGTGTTACATTAGGCTGTATAAATGGACGGACAAGCGCAGACTACAAGTGTCCGGGAGTCGGGCTTAATCTAATGATGCAAAAATAGAGACAGAACCAATTATGGAGAGGGCCAACTCGGTGCTGCTGCAGGGACTGCAAATGAATAGGTACAAATCAAATTAGTGCCTAATAGACGTGCTACGAGAGAGGGCCAGTCGATGCTAAATGCATTAGGGCCTTGTGACCTCGCTGCTCCAAGCAGTGGCGTCCAGGATCCAAGCTCCATCTTCCCCAGATATCAAAGAAAGTCTTGTTCAGACGAGGGGGAGGGCCGGAGAGCAGCAGCTTCCTAAATGAGTTAAACATTTGGATTGTCAAGAGTGGCAATTTCCCCCCTCATTTCGCTTGGTCTCTCCCTCAATGCGAATTACCTAATTTGTTATTGTAAAACCTCGGAAATGTGTCTTTTCCAAGATCTGTACGAGAGATCACGTAAATACGCCAGGACGTATTCTTATCTCTGCGCAATTCGAACAGGATTGAGGAGACATAACTGATTCCCGGAGTCACTGGAGGAATTAGCAAGAGCAAATCAAACAAAATAGGGTTTACCATATTAACTTCTGAGGGAGTTAGTTTGCTTTTGAGCTTAACGAGCTACTAATGAGAAGAATTAACTTGGCTGAAGTTCTGTTGGCAGGTCTGTAATAACAAAAAAATTAATTATATCTGTTTTTTTTTCTATAAAGCTGTCACTTGGGCAGTACCCTAAGGTACAAAAGCTAAAAGGTACATCTTCTTTGTACCTTATTTACTCCTAAATGGTACATATTAGTACTTTTTAAAAATACATATAAGCACCTAATGTTAGTACTTTTTGAAAGGGAAATGCCCCAGTGACAGTTTTATACCTTTTTTATCTTCTTGTACAAAGTTATCATTACATATTCAAATTCCTTTTGGACATCACATAAAATAAATTTGTACATACAATGAAATTAAGTGGGGTCTAATGTTGTTCTGGCCCACAATGGCTTTCATTATATGAACCAAAACATTTGATACTTTTTTGTTTCACAGCAGAGTCATACAAATGAGCAAAAAGTCATACAAATTTGTGAGAACCATTCTTTTTAAATATGTGATGTTAACTGTTGTTTTTAATGGTATGTTATAGGGCTGTGCAAATAATCAAATGCGATGATCATGCGCATCTCATCAGTAACGCCAATTCTGTGATTAGTAGTAAATCTCCATCACATGCTTTCAGATGGAGTGGCATTTACTACACAGAGCCATAGTTCACTGACAATCTACGCAATATCGCGCTCATAATCGCAGGCATGCCGATAATGAACGCGATATCGCGTAGCTTGTACTATTTGCACAGCCCTAGTATGTTATCTGACATCCATTGCCTATATGTTGTACATAATACCATTAGTGAGAGTGTTTGCGCTCACCTGTCCCAGAGCCCACAATGTCTCTGCTGGGCGACTCTGACATTGCGTCTGCCAGCCTCTCCTTCAGGCCCTCTTCCGTGGCTTCCACAGAGGACATGTGACGCAGTCCGAAACTCTCAGGCCAGCTGCCACACACCTCCAGCAGGGTGACGCTGCGGTCAAACATGCCTGCCAGAGAAAAAACGAGAGAGAAGAGCAACAGTTCAATCCTCGATTTTGATTCACACTGCATTAAAGCTCATTACAATTTAATTTTATCACTGCAAACTGCAATTTTTTTCTGTTCTTTATAATTGTTGCTTGTCTAAGTCAAAAATCACACCGTACCGGCTTGAAAACACTGCAATTCTGTAAGTCTCGTTGAAGTCATAATACATAATGAACCTGAAAACTGTCTATGGCTATGCTGGTGTAACTCAGAGGTCATAAACAGCTATCTGTGTTTCATCTGGCACACATAGCAGCTCAAGCCCCAGCTGACCCCCCTTGCCTTCCTCTGACAGGGATAGCAAAGAGGAAATGACTGACCCCTGAAAAACACCACTGTGGGCCAGTATGACTTCAAACAAAAACACTGGGCTAATTTTTTTTTCCAGCAATAAGCGCCTAGGCCAATAAAAGGGATATTGCATAAGGAGGGGGGTGTTAAGGAAGCACAGTTTGTCTGTCTCCCGTGATGCTGCATTTCAGACAGTGGCATCTTTCTATTATATATACCTGCCACATAAAATACAGCTGCTTTATCTGAACGGCCTGTAGGGAGACCCTTTGATCTACAGGCCAATGACTATCTGGCCTTGTCTGCCCTCCCCTGCAAACCCTCAGCCACACTCGAGGCCTCTGACAGGCGCTAATGCGCAGGCGAGAGAGGAGCGCGGGCGGCCGGTGGCACAGCGCTGATAGGGAGACAAGAGGCCTGCCGTTATCTGCTGTAAAACACTAGTCCAGCCAGACACACAGACAGCAGATAACTTCATACCACTTCATAAAAAGCTGTTTGTCCTGTGTCTGCCATTGACTCCTCAAAGCACTGAAATCACCCGAGTCAACAGGCCCGCCATCAAAGCAACTTCCTGCAGGCTGAGTGGAAGTGGCAACCATACCTGCTGCCCACAAACAACAATTCTGCATGTCGCCAAAATACTACAGCACATGCATACTACAGCACTTTGGTCTTTTATGGGGTTTTGATATTTCATAATGCCAAGTAGTACAGAAATACAGAAACTAACTTTCAATCAAATAAAATCAATAAAATAAAAATAAATTAAGAACAGACATTTGCTAAAAAAATAAACCATATGAATTAGCAAAGAAAAAGACCAGTGAAAAGAAATGGAATCAATACATACACTACATGTATTGAATTCTGATATTTTTTTGAAGTAATAATAATCATAATACTCTCCATATAATGTAGCCGATATATACAATGCCTGTTTAAAAGATTGGGGTCAGTAAGGCTTCATTCGATCAAAAATACAATAATAACAGTAATATGGTAAAGTTTTATTATAAAATAACTATTTTCTATTTATTCCTGTGATGGTAAAAAGCTGAATTTTCAGCAGCCATTACTCCAGCCTTCGGTGTTACTTGATCCTTCAGAAATAATTTGAATATGCTGATTTGGTGGTCAGGAAACATTTCTTCTTATAATTAATGTTTTAAACCATTGTGTAACTTAATGTTTTGTTAAAACCATGATGATTTTTTAAGGATTCTTTGATGAATAAAAAAGTTAAAAAGAAGAGCATTTATTGAGCTTATAGGTCAAAACACCTAACCAGAGCAAAGTGCTTTCTTTCATGGTCAGGTTCATCAAACTGCTGAAGGTGTTGAACAAGTTTAGGAGGCTGGAGCACGCACCTCTGCGAGTGTTGTTTTAAAGCAGCCCAACAGCTGAAGGAGAACTTCACAGAGGATGTGGGGTCAGAAGTTCAACCCCACCAATACGGAAGATCTCTTCATTAGACTGGCTGACAGCCACCACAGCCCACATTCCGCATTATTCACACCCCGTCAGAGCTCAGCTTCATCAATTCAATAATAAAACGCCTGCCGTAGGTTCTGGGTGAGACAAAAGGCCTGAGCGGACCCACGTGGATCCTCGCGTGTTCCTCTTGCTTTTGATTCTTCACTTGGAAATCCTGTCTGAACTACTGAGGTATGAGGATGTGATGTTAACATTTAACAGGCAGGAGGAGACAATTTTTTTTTTTATCATCATAAAACCCATGTGTGGGGTTAGTCATCTCCTAGATGTTGGCAAAAGCAGGGCTACTTATCTCATTTTTAAGATTTTCTTTATTTTTAGTTCAGAGAACATTCACCTTGAGAGCCTTGGGTTATGGCAGGTTTACTGAGGCATGTGGGGGGAACACATTATCCTGTTTCTGGGCTACAAGGGGCACCAGAGAAGTGTAAACAGCTAAAAGAACAGCAAAGGTGGGGCTAATTCAATTAGGTTTTATTAAGGGGCTATAAGTGAAATTGAGCTAACAAGCAATTATCCCCAGGAAAGTGTGTCAGACTTGTGTAATGTTGCTCACTTGTATCTAAAAACAAACAGGCTTCTGGTGGAAAATGGACAGAGTGTAAATCATGGGCTGTCATTTGTCCAAGGCGGCATCTGCTTGAACTGCCCCTGCCGAGAAGACCTCCACCTTTCTCTGGCATTTTGCCACTTTTATTTAGAAGAGGGTAGACGGAGGACAGGAAATGATAGTGAGAGAGAGATGGTTCGGGAACAGGAAGTGCCCACATGATCTACACACTCTGCACTAATTACAAGCTAACTGATAAATAAAAAATTATATTAAAAAAAATTAAATTAAAAAAATAAATAAAAATAAAGTAAAATAAAATGGTGGCAAATCACAAAAGTTACTTAAAAGCTGACCCAAAAAAAAGACACTACTAAAGTTGGTGGCAAATCACTAAATAAAAATAAAATAAAATAAATGTGAATGAATGAATAAAACACTTTGACTAGCTACAACTAAATCAATTGCTAAAATTTTGGTGGTGACTTTAGAAGGAAAGTAGCATGGCCAGAATTGAGTCGAGGACTGTTGTTAGTCAAGTAAACTTTATTATCAGTTGATTATGGCCTTGCTCGAGTGAGTGTCCTCTTTGAAGAGATCAAGCCATCCAACTCTCCAGATAAGAGTGACACTGGGCACTCAGGCTGGCTTTATTTCCGTACCCTCCAGCTCCTCAGTGTGCACCCTGCTTTCACTGGCTCTTAATCAGAGACCACTTTAAAGTGCCGCCGGTATACAGACACACACAGCATCAACGGCTACTAAAAGCCAGACGAGCGCACCACAGCTAGAGCGATACGGACCCAAAAGCTGCCAGAAGTGTTTAGCGCCGATGTGTGAGTGTTAATGTAGATGTAAGCTCTGAGGATTAGCAGTAAGATAGATGGCCATAAGGAAGTCTTTTCCCCCACCTCCAAGGCCCCCATTACACTGCCTTTTAAATCATTTACTCCCTCGCTCTCTCTTTTCACTCTCGCTCTTTAGCTGTGAGAGTGTGAGTAATCCCATCAATTTCCTCACCGGGCTTTTACGCTCTCTTTCACACAATGGATTCCGGCTCACTCAGCCACGGCACTCTCCGCCCCGTTCAAAAGCCAGGTCGGCAAACTTAGAAAAACAGAGCGCTGTCTGACAATTAGTCTTAAACCTTTAATAGCGAAGAGTGCAATGCGTCGTGTGTGGCACTAGCTGTGGCTCCTTAAAGTGTCAGTGTGAAAGTATAGTGTAATATATGCTTCTCAGTTAAACAGCAATCTCATATTAGGTGTGTCCCGAGGCTTTTCTAATAAATGAAACTGATAGAGTCTGTGTAAACAGAACGTGGCCTAATGATGGAGAGCGAACGAGCGAGAAGCCATTTTCCAACAGCCAAAGTGGCAGGGATGCCTAATTGATATGGAAGAGTATTGTATTACTTCTCAGTTAAACAGCAATCTCATATTAGGTGTGTCCCGAGGCTTTTCTAATAAATGAAACTGATAGAGTCCGTGTAAACAGAACGTGGCCTAATGATGGAGAGCGAACGAGCGAGAAGCCATTCTCCAACAGCCAAAGTGGCAGGGATGCCTAATTGATATGGAAGAGTATTGTATTACGCTGTAACTTAATGAGGCAGATGTCTTGTTTATGCTGAGAAGCTAATGTGTTTCACAGCTACTTGAGTGCATTCATTTCTCTGACAGGCTGGAACGTATCAAGCCCCTCCCGTGCTCGCCAGAGCCAAACCCTACAGGGCCGCACCGATCCATGAACAAAACATGACGCCAGGGCTTGACTCAACACTCAGCACTCAAAACACTGTCAAATCTTATTCAAAACAACAACAGACACCGTTACTTTTACTTAAGCTGTTCTTGTCAATAACCTTTAGCATGGTTGTTGTGCATGGCAAGAGTTCACAGGTAATCAAATTGCAATATTTGTAGATAATTTCCAAGAATCAGTCACCCGGACTGTGCTTAGACTTGTAAAATGAATCGTTCAAATTTTACTAAATTTAATTTAAATGTAAATAAACACAGCATAATAGCAATTTGAACATATAAGGAATTACAATTAAAATGAACTGAAATTAAATTTCTAAATAGAAAAGCAAAGCATGTGAAGATGAAGGATTTAGTTTAAAAAGTTTGAAGATTTATAGATCGAACAAACCAAATATTAAATGAACCAATGAACAAACAAACCAGTGAACAACAAATGAACAAACTATCAAATGAACAAAATATCGAACAACAAATTAACAAGCTATTTATCGAATAAACAAACTATCGAACCACTATCAAACTATCGTGTTTCTCAAACCTATGAGAGATGCGTAAAATCTGGCGCTTGGGGTGAGCATCCACATTAATCACAATACCGCCCATCCCAGCAGACCCCATCCATCAGACCACTGTTAAACTGATAGAGTCCGTGTAAACAGAACGTGGCCTAATGATGGAGAGCGAACGAGCGAGAAGCCATTCTCCAACAGCCAAAGTGGCAGGGATGCCTAATTGATATGGAAGAGGATTGTATTACGCTGTAACTTAATGAGGCAGATGTCTTGTTTATGCTGAGAAGCTAATGTGTTTCACAGCTACTTGAGTGCATTCATTTCTCTGACAGGCTGGAACGTATCAAGCCCCTCCCGTGCTCGCCAGAGCCAAACCCTACAGGGCCGCACCGATCCATGAACAAAACATGACGCCAGGGCTTGACTCAACACTCAGCACTCAAAACATTGTCAAATCTTATTCAAAACAACAACAGACACCGTTACTTTTACTTAAGCTGTTCTTGTCAATAACCTTTAGCATGGTTGTTGTGCAT